TTATGGAGCTTTTAAAGATTTTAGGGAAAATCCCAGTTCGGAAACTGGTATCAACCATATGTAATAATGGTAACAGTAGGTATAGGAACTATTTTTTTAAATATATCAGAGCAAATTCCATCTTCTCCCCCACTCACCCCATTTTTTAGGCTCTTTATTTCTTTTAGTAGCTCATTTTGTGAGATAGGGTATAAGAAAAACGAATCTGTTACTTTCTCTCTATTTCTTCCCACACCCACCATACCAGAACCATTAATTTTGCTTGCTAACTTTTTACCTATATTAGAAAAGTGATTATTGAATTGGACTTCTGGTCGTTTGTTGCTTGTTTTATTAGGTTCCACAACTTTTTCGGATCTCTCAGGTTTTTCTGAGCTAAATCTTTCTAGTAGAAAAACTTTGATTTTTTTATCAGTTTTGTCAACATTTTTGGATATTCTTTATATTTGTTTAGAAGTACTAAATTGTTATTATGGTGCATTCTTTTTTAGTTGATCTCTAATCCTGATAGATCTCAGCAAACCACCAGAAATCCACGGTTTTATTTTTTTTTTTTTTTTGCAGGTAATACTTTTGGTTATTATAGAACTTTTTAAAATGTGCTTCAATATATTAACAAAATTATTTGTGCATAAATTAGCATCAACTGTATTCAGGACACCATCCCAACTTGCTTGTGCCATCATTGTTTTAAGCTTTTCATGGTCTATAATTTCGTAAGAGCTCTTTTTGTTGGCCACCTTTAGAGCATTTTCATTGAAGTAGATGTTTAGCAAGATGGGATCATGGTCCGTCAATTTATGCTCTAGTATTAGGGCATTTATATTTTCAAGAAAATTTCTCTTACACTTAATGAAGAAATGGTCTAAGCAAGATCGTGAGTTCTCCACTTTTCTTGTTGTTTGGTTGACAAAACTGACCAGTCCATGGCTCTGCACCATCGTAATGTATTCATGTATTCATTTGAGTCTACAGAGTCTGTGTCAATGCTTATGTCACCAGTGAAAATGCATAATCTATTCTGGTCGACGAGGCTTCTTTGAAGTATAATGTTTAAATTGTTGATAAAAGTTGCTTTATTTGTCGCAAAATACCTATATTTAGCTGAAATATCCATGAGCTTATTGTTTTTTTGTAAGGTCTATAAACCTAGCAGTCCCAAAGTGGAAAAAAACTTCGGGAACTATATAATAATTAGGTGCTTTTTAGGTGCTAATTAGGGCCTCTAATTAAAAATTAGGTGCTCCTTTAGTTTTTGAGAAAATCAAAAAAAACTAAGGGACTGCTAGGTTTATAAAAGCTAGCAGTCCCCTATAGTAAAAAATATTTTTTTCAAATTTCTTCTTTCTATCAGAATTAGGTGCTTTTTAGGTGCTCCTAAATAGTCCAAGAAAAAATAGAATTGATTAATTATTAACTGAGTTACAGATTTTTTTTTAATTATTAGGGGACTGCTGGCTTTACGTTTACATGTTGGTGTGTCAGAATGGCAAAAAAACTTCGGGATCTATATAATAATTAGGGGCTTTTTAGGTGCTAATTAGGGCTACTAATTAAAAATTAGGTGCTCCTTTAGTTTTTGAGATAATAAAAAAAAAATAACAAAGGAACTGCTAGGTTAATGGAAACTAGCTGTCCCTACTAATTAAAAAAAATCTGTAACTCCGTTAATATTTAATCAATTCTATTTTTTCTTGGACTATTTAGGAGCACCTAAAAAGCACCTAATTCTGATACAAAAGAAATTTTTGGAAAAATATTTTTCACTATAGGGGACTACTAGCTTTCATAAACCTAGCAATCCCTTAGTTTTTTTTTTTGATTTTCTCAAAAACTAGAGGAGCACCTAATTTTTAATTAGAGGTCCTAATTAGCACCTAAAAAGCACCTAATTATTATATAGATCCCGAAGTTTTTTTGCCATTCTGACACACCAACATGTAAACGTAAAGCCAGCAGTCCCCTAATAATTAAAAAAAAATCTGTAACTCAGTTAATAATTAATCAATTCTATTTTTTCTTGGACTATTTAGATGCACCTAAAAAGCACCTAATTCTGATACAAAGATGAAATTTGAAAAAAAATTTTTTTACTATAGGGGACTGCTAGCTTTTATAAACCTAGCAGTCCCTTAGTTTTTTTTGATTTTCTCAAAAACTAAAGGAGCGCCTAATTTTTAATTAGAGGCCCTAATTAGCACCTAAAAAGCACCTAATTATTATATAGTTCCCGAAGTTTTTTTCCACCTTGGGACTGCTAGGTTTACAGACTTTTTTTTGTAAGGTAATAGAAACAATCTTAAGGCTGCCCTCAATTAACACTCTACTGCCTACCTAAAAATTCGTCCTTAGCGTATATTGCACAGCCATCACATTTATGAGCTCGCGGTCATTAAAAATTAGACTATATCTCTGTATATTGAAATCACTTATATTATAGATTTTGTGTCACTCTGACATCACCATCACATCAAACTGTTTATGGAGATTTTCTAAGAATACTAAAAAATTGTCGAAATTTTGGTATTTACTTCTTAATATTAACATTAATCACATTGATATCACTTTGACAGTTATCAAATAACTTTATATCAGTCAAGTCATCACAGGTTGTTGCCTCATTAGGCTTGTAGTCATCTATATAGAATAGTATTTAGTTCTGTGAATATGAATTATGGAAAATATTTACCTATTATGATATTTTGATCCCATATTAGGTCGCTTCCCTCTCTTATTTTCATAGCAGGCTCAATATCAGTTCTCACCAAATAAATATTTCCATTTACGCAGAATACTGCCTTAAATCATTTTTCATTTTTGAGCTCTCTTGCTTTCCTAAATAAATCTCTCTTTCCAGGGGGAAGATCCTCATTAAGGTATATTTTTCCATCAGATGTGCACTCGAGTCCACATTGATCAGTTTCAACTCTTTGATTCCCTTTAGGATGCCTTTTTTCATCTGCAGATCGCCAAACTTAGCCATAATGGGTCCAGTGTCATTTTTTCCAATGCGAAAACTCTTCAAGCATTGGATATCTGTGGTTTGTAGCTTCATTGTTGTCAAAATCTTGTTCACTATTTTCCCTGTGTCCTGTTCCGATTGTTTTGGTACTCCATCGATAATTATGTTTTTAGCTCTTTCTTTGACCTCCAACTCCTCAAATTTCATTTCAAGCACTTGTACACGTTCCTTCAATTCAGTGTTTTCCTTTTTCAACTTCCTCAAACTTCTTTTTTTCGGTTCCAAATCGTAGATCGGGAGATTCCGATGATCATATTCTAAACAGAAACTAAATATAATATAACCCATTAGAATTAATTTAAGGCATTCTTCCATGGGCTCACACTCTAGGATTAGCTACTAACAATAAACCTTAATTTAGTGCAATGCAGGCAACGTTCTCTCATAAAATCTCACTCAACAAGACTAATTACAATAATTTTACGCTTAACGAGACATTTGTGTTTCTAATTTTATATTTTGTAGTCGTTTATCGCAAACATGTGATTTTGAATATGATGATTTAACATTTTCTTGAAAAAATTAGGTATAATATGTACTTGCAATTGCAATAAAGCGCACTTTGTATGTCTTTCGAATCCTCATCAAAATGGTACTACAAAACTTTACTAGTTTATAATTTATTAGAAAGACATTTTGACTATCTACTACCTATCTACTGAAACGACTAAAATCTGGATTCTTGCCAAGTTTTATATCTATTGAGGTTTCATGTTTTCATAAAATCTGTTACAAATTAGTTTTTTTAAATTTATGCAAATCATTGGTTATTGTAAACCCATTATTTTCGTTGTGCATCACGTCAAAAAAACATAACAAACCATATCACGCGAGCTCCGCTCTCTTTTCGTAATTTAACCATGCAACACTCGAATAATTAGCAACAAACATAACGGCTCTTTAAAACAATTACAAATCATATAAACAGTTTTACTATGTTAGTTATTTCTAGGCTAAGACAATTTCGGCCTTGAATGTCGGATTTTATTGGTATATGTACCTAAAAGCATTCCAGTATCTTGTCAGTGCACTAAAAAATCGTAAATTTAGCCAACTATGGCGATTTGTAAAAGGCTTTTGGCCTTCGAAATAACCGAGATTAAACTACACAAACATATTATGTTTTAGAGAATATGTTTGGGTTAGATGGTGTTAGGAACCATTCCTAAGCTTCAGCTAAATGTTGTTGACACTTTTTTGTAATAAATACTCGAAAATTTCAATCAAAAATTACATTTTATTTGCACTGCCACTTTTTACAGCCTTTCGCCAGACGGCCACACTCAAAAGACAAAGACATATTCCCCCTTCCCTTTTTTCTCCCCCAATAGCAATCTCCCAGGGCAGCAGATATTACAGAAATCTGCAATATAGGTTTGGCGTTGCCACATTTACCATTCGTTAACAGAAATCATTTTATACTTTAGAAACAGATGGTCTAATATGTTAACACATCGTATTGACTTTACATACACGAGAAAAGAAAGAATGAATAGCATTATACTTTGGCATAATTATTTCTAGAAAAGTTACCAAAAACATGATGTCTTGTTAAATTAGTCAGATCACACAACCCAATTATCTCTAGCATTATCAGTGATTCCTATTAGAAATATGTATACTAATCTTTCTTTTTCCATGTCCTGTTTCGAGCTTATACGCTCTTTTCAGTGCAATATAAGCGAAGGCATATTATAAAGTGTGGCTCCATCTCTTCGCATTCTTACAAATAGTAAGGTAACCACGCATTTTATCTTGAATCCCACTGACTCAATAAACAGCATTTGGAGGTTATCCAAATTTATCTTTCGTCGTCTCATAAATCTTCAAACATAAACTATTGAGTAAACAAAATATCGAGTTTCAATAATACATAATTTAATTACAATAATATTACTTGTAACATTCACACGTTTTTGGGATTAATTAGATTTATGGGAAATTTTATTGCACCGATAAGAATTCACAAAATAATAATATTGTTGACTTGATTATGGTAACTTGAAGGTCTTTCTAGGACACACACAAAAAAAATTGAATTTCCAACTCTTCATCATTTAAATCCCGCCCATGATTCCTTAATTTCATGGTAATTATTCAACTTACATAAAAATACAATAATCCTATTTACATGATAAATTTTCTCGAAACTCCTTCTATGGTTTGTTGATGATTTCATGATACATAAATAGTATCCTAAAAAAGTAGAGGATGATGATGGTTGGGTTAGTTGTGTTTTTGAATCAAAAGGATAATCATGGTTTGTTGTTATTGCTCAAAAAAACATGGAGTAAGTGTAAGAATAGGCATTGTAATTTTGTTCCACATTTGTTAATATTGCGATAAATATGCAACAGATAATTATAACTCACCTTTACTTATCTAGCCTTATTCATTTTGTGCTGCTTATCATTTCAACAAGAAAAAAGAGGCCAATGCATGTCATGCATGTCGGTTTTTTATCTCGGTTTTTATAGGAATAATTACGTTGATATGACTTTTTGTGTGTAAAATTGGCACCAAGTCAATATTTATAATATTTTTTGATACAAATTTAATATGTAAAAGCCAGAAACGTCCACACAAACTAATTTGTATAGCAATTGAATTCTCAGAATTCCTGAAATAATCCAATATTTAACGAACATCCGCTGTTTTCAAAGAAAGCACTGACATCCCACCAAATCTTGGCAAACATCCTAAACAAAATTATTGCCCCATGAGATTATGTGTTTTAGAAGTTCAAGGACTCCTCTATGGCCTTTAATATTTATAACTTGTTGAAACATCAGATCATAAATTTTCCTTTGTCTTGAATTTTACAAATTCTTAAGTCGCAAATGTAAATTATTAACTTATAGCTATTTTTTACAAACAAATTCTAACACATTGTTTTTTTTTTTTTAGACTGTGAGCAACAGACCGCGCCTGTGGTCGTCACAAACCAACATCCGAAGCAAAGACAAAGATGTACCGTATTTTGCCGCGATGAACAGCACGGAAGAGATTTCGGTCTACAAAAGCCCGCAAGAGTTTTACGTTTCGCCCACTTTTTCGAAACGGTCCACCCTGGGCCACAGTTATGAATTTCCAGAAAAACAGGCTAAAAAGGAGAAAAAATGGTCTATTGGTAGTTTGTTTAGACGAAAAAAGAAGGACGACACTGAAAGTAGCAGCGAAGAAGAGCAGAAGAAAGGTTTTTTGGGCCGAAGGCGTCGTAAAAGTGATGGCAAAAAACGGAAACCCAAAACAGTGGGCGGGTTTGATCACATAGTACTACCTAAAACCCAACAGTACAATGGCTACAATCACCATGAAGATACTGGTATCTTATCAGACCCTTCCTGTGGTTTTTCAAATTACATTGGAAGATCTTTACCTTTACCACCCCAAAACAACCAGCCCAACAGTACAAGCAACTCATACACAAACCTAAATCATTCAGTAATAAGTGTAACCTCCATAGGTTCAGGAGATAGTATTTCGAAAAGAAAAGGCAAAGAACTTGTAAAAGCTAGAGCAGCTGCCAGAAGAACTACTTTAGCAAACGAGAGCAGCTCTGATGAAGATTCTTCTATGAGATCAAACTCTTCTTTACACATACGCAGTGATGAGAGCATGACAAAACATGATTTGAATAGGAGATCCAGAGCTGCCAGGACTGAAAGATATCTTAAAAGACATTCAAAAGATGGCGAAAACCCTCATAATTATCTCAGACTATCCAAGTCGGATGCTGATGAATATAGATCCCCAAGTCGCAGTCCTTTACCTCCTAATAATAATAACTTATCAGGCGTAAGTACTATACCACCAAGCCATACTAAATACAGGATAAGCAATTCGACTAGCAATCCTTCATATAAACCTCCACTTTCAATGAACGAATACAATAATGCCATAAATAAGGGCAGCAGTATGGAATTGAACAACCAAAGAAGCATTTCTTGTGATGCCAACATTCACAAAGCTGAAGAAAATAATATAATGCATGTCCAGTTTCCTATTTTAAGACCACAAAATCGAAGGAACATTATTGACTGTAGTAGGCAACCGCCTCAACCACCACCAAGAGATCCAAATAGGACAGTCGTGTCGCATTACTTTGAAAATGGCAGGCCCAGCACTGTTTATTGCGACAATAATAAATCAAAATATGCTCCTATTGTAACTGCTAGGTTTCTACAACCAAAATCAGGCTCGTTCAACTACAGATCGAATTCTGAAGTCCATATACCCAACGATCAGTTTCAAATAACTTCGCCTGTAAGGCCAGCGTCCACTACCCCTGAGCCCAAACCTAACAGATTTATTTTAAAAAATCGAAATGAAAGACACACAGTAGATGGATATAATTATCTTACTGATAAAAAACCTAGAAGCAGAAAACCCATAGTAATACAAAGCAACATAAAAGTGGAGCCAAGAAAAGACTCTCCAACACAAAAAGCTTTAGATTTTTGGAAGCAAATCGAAGATAGTGTTAGCAAATCTTATCCAAACAAAACACCGAAAACCTTCCCCAGCAATAAACCTACTTCGAAAAGTCCTCAAATATTTACTAGTCAAACCCATGTGCAATCTCAAGTATTTTTACCAAACACTAGAACTTCTAGTCCGTTTAAGCCCATATCAATAAATGACGCTCCATCTGAATCAAACTTAAGCAATACCTCAAAGGACGATGTTAAAAGGAAATCCGCAAATTTGGAAGAAGCGTTGAACGAGCTAGAAGCTATTTATAATAGTCTACGTTTGGGAGATGAAAATTTATTGGACAGAGCTGAACAAAGAGAGAACGAATCTCTTGTCAGAGAGGCCGAAGCTAAGAAAAAGCAAACCTATATTGGTTACAGTCATAGTAAGGGTGCTCTAAGCGACTCTAGTTTCAGCTATGAGCCTTTTGATCAGGTAGATTCTCCCAAAAGGAAAAAAGTTGTTAAAAAAGGCAAAATACCAGACACTAAAGAGGACGATATGTATAATAGAAAATTGGTAAAAGAAAAATCTGCCACTATAAGCGATCCTCAGTCGGTTTTGTCTAGAGTAAGTTACTTGTTAGCATCTCCAGTTCACAGTAACGCTTACGATAGTGAAACCGAAAAAATCAATAAAACCAGTAATGAACCAGATATTACATTTGATGATGTTCTGTTCCGCAATGTTAAACGTGCCATCGCTAGTCCAAAAACCGTGGATCCTCAACCTCCATTTGGAATACCTCTTGGTCCAGTTTCTTCAGCTCCAAACAGTGACTATCTTCATGCCACACCTGGAGTTACTTACACTCCCGTTTTCATACCAAAGAAAATTCCTGATATCGTCAAAGACGATTTGGCTTTTAGGAATTTGCGTAAAGATGCTAATAAAGAGCCAGTTTTGCCTTTAGCTTCAGGGGATGACGTTAAAAATATTATTTATCCCAAAGAAAAATTGGATTTGAATTTTCTTAAAAAACGCAGAGCTGTACGTTCACTTTCAGCTAACGTTGGTAACATTTTGGGCAGAGATGTTAAGGAAAGTGATGATGATGTTGAAAATGAATTTAGAAATAAGACTTTGACTGATATTGCTGATGCTATGGAGATTGCTAGGAGAGTGCTTCAAGAAAAAGGCAAAAATATTAGTGATACTCGAAAAGCTTTTATGAGTGATACTGATATTAAAAGTAATGGGGATTGTTTTAAAGATAGTCGTTTGAAATTTCTTAATGGTTTAAAAAGTAGAGAAGTTGTAGCTGATAGGCCACCTAAAGGGTTGACGCCTGAAAGAAAAATCGCCCCAACAAAAGAATCTACACCAATTCCAAAATCAGCTTTGGAAGAAAATAATTCAACAAATTCCTCTTTGGATGATTTGCTTAATGCATTGGCAGAAGAAGCTAAAGTTACGACAGACAGAATCACGAAAGAGTTAAAGGAGCTGGAAGAAAAACGAGCCAGAGAAAATGCTAGTGACAATCTACAACCATGTCAAAAACTACTTAAAGCTGTAGTAGATAGTAAAGATTTAGTGGAATATAGTAAATCGCCTAGTGAGATTGTTGAGGAAATAGAAGTACACCCTCCACCAACACAGGCTGCTAATATTATCCAATCTTGCTTCAAACAAAGCTCTGAAGAACCACAATTGGAAAGCGAGGAGCACGACTATGAAAACATAGATTCAGAAGAAGACAAAATAGATATAAATTTAATAGAGCAGGAAGTTGCAAGGGAGGAATTCAAAAAGTGTCGATCGCCGTTCGAAGAACGCAAAGCCGAAATTGTAGCTTCGTTTCAAGAATTAAAAGATAGAAGCAAAACCGATTCGATCTACGATAATCTCGACGGTCAACAAGTGTCAGCTGAAGGTGAGCATAGGTTTGACGCTTGCCGAATTGATTTTTCTAATATTAACACTCGTTCAAATGCACGTTGCGATTCCGAACACTCGAGCACCGACAGCGCCAGGCTAGAGTCACTTGAAAGCTTAAAAAGTCCTAAACTAGTGCTGGAAACTTCTAGAAGGTGCTCGGGTGCAGTTCCCAAAAGCTCCAACATGGTACTGGAGTTGAATAGGAGCACTAGCGATAATCGATGTTGCCAGTTAGAGGAGCAAAAGGAGCTGTGGTACCATGACCCTTCCAAGGTCGCTCTGGCCTGTTCTTATGGCCTTGCATGCGCTCATCAGCTAGCTACCGTAGATTTAGTTGCTGTTTTAAGCCTTTTATTTGCTGTGATGTCTTTTATTGTTGCTATATTTTTGTAATGCACCTATTTGAGGGTTTGATGTCCTACACACTTTCAAATGGGTGAATTATGATTTTTTTTTATCATTATTTGACATTTTTTTGTGTGTGTTTTTCACCTCATTGTTATAACAGCATGAATATAGATATAGATACATAATTCTGATTGGAAGGAAATACAAAATTCATGTTTGGAATATTTAATAAGTGAAATAATGGTCATTTTACTAAATAGTTTTTTGTATTTCTTTTTCCAAAATTTCCAAATGAGAAAATCTTAGAATTACAAGTTTTATTATGAAAAGACGTACTTAAATACAATAAATTTGTTGTACTTCAATGTACAGATTGATACTTTTCTCTATGCTATGGTATTTTTTTTTTTGTAAATAATATTAGTGGGAGTGACTGAAAGCCAAATAATAATTTTTAAGATGAAAACGAAACTATATTTTGTATATACATATAATATTTTTTAAATAAAAGTTTTACATTTTTAATATACAACGTACTGATCTTATTCACACAGGCTTCGTTATTATTGTTGTTACTTCATAATACCTTTATTGTCCAGCATTTTTAAACAAAAATAACAAATAGATATCTGGGAACAAGATTTTTACATTACCTCATAGGCTTATGTGAATTGGATTACAATCAATTGCTAATTTTATAATAGTGATTTGAAGTTTGAAATTCTGGGTGGGATTCAAAATTCATATATTGTATCAATACACAATAAATAAAATTGCAGAACAGTTACATTTAATTATTCGATATTGCTTAATTCCGTTAGAATGCTGATCATTTATCTGCCAACAACAAACAAAGGTAAAATAATATTTGCTTATTTATAGTAAACTGATATTGCAGTATAACTGTTTCATTTGAGATGCATAGTTAATTCTTCATGATCAAGTGTATATTTATTTCGCGTATATCCATTGCTTAGTCATGCACCATCATGTTAGGAAAATTATTATTATTGTGCTAAAACATGTAAAAAATTCCACAGCACCAAGCGTTTTAAAAAGTTGCAGAGTGTTCACAAATATGTAGTATCTAAAATCCCTGTTTGTAAACTTAGATCCTTGTCATTTTGGCGGCGGTAAAAACCTAGACTAGAGGGTCAGTTCAATTATCAGTTTATCAGTTCAGTTCAGAAATGTCAGAGTATTTATCTCATTTGAACTTAGGGCAAAGATAATCCTACTCGGAGTAGGATTATCTTTGCTTAGGGTTAGGGTTTCATCGTATCGGAAGATCTATCTTCTTACTTTTTGTAGCTGAAATCGTATTTTTTAAATTGGAAATAAGCAAATGCGTACATTGCTGCAAATTTTCCACCTTTTTGGCATTTAGTGTATATTTTCTCCACCAGAGTGTAACGGGAATATTTAGATGCAGGACATTATATGGAAGGCCGTATGGAATTTAAACACTTAGAACACTAGGATACGTCACCTCGAGGGAATAAAACATCAGAATCATTCCGGCTTCGGTTTTTCTTCCCCTAAAATAAATAAATTAACAAATAGTCCAATAATTCTTTTAATCCTTGCAATATTATTGTTATTGGTTTTCTCTAAATGTCATTCACCTCTGCACATCAGCTGTTTTATTGACCCGTGGGTGCGATCGTTTGGAGCAACAGTACAGTAACCAGAACCAGGTCAGGAGCGCATTCAACCTCGTCAGAGCGATCTCGGTACAGCGGTGCCGGTCGTCATTTGTTCAGCTGTTCTGAGTTGTGTAGCGGTTTCATTCGTGCACTTTTCTTGTGAAATTTTGGTTGCGAGCACTCGGAGCGTCTAATTGTGATCGAGTGGCATTGTTGCCGTTCTGCCGGAAATGAGTTCCTCGTGGTAATTTTTCTAGAATTTTCTGGACGTGATTTGACACAAATTTTCGGAGGGGATTTCCGGTCGCCATGTTACCTGCTGGCCAGTCTTGGTAAGGGCAGTTCAGTTTAAGTTCAGCAGCATTGTGGTGAGTGCAAGTACGTCTAAGGGCACATCCAATTTCAGAAGGCTTTGTCTGGAACCTAGGAACTTGGTTTCCCATTGAGGATTAAAGGATCCGCCCTGGCTGGCGAAAAAGTTTCTCATCGATTTTTGGAAGATTAGTTGGAGGAATTTCGCACCCGTTTTGGGGATAAAACGACTACTTCACCACCACCGACCACGTTGTGCTCCACCCAACACCTTGGTAGCACCCCTAACTGCTGCTGAACTGGCTCATCTACAAGTCCTGGGAATTAATCACTGGTGAGCTTGATATTATTTGTTTGAATTTTTCTTTTTTTTTCCTATTGGGAAAAGAGCTGTTGGAGCTCATGCATTTTTTTTTATATTAAGGATTGGTTGATTGGTTGTCCTAGAGGTTTGACCTCAGTTCCTGTCGTGCATGTTTGCGGCCGAATCCGTCCATCACCGGCTCGTTGCAGGCTACAGAGGGCAGTCCAGGCCTTTCTATAGGAAAACCCTCGCCAGAGGTAATTATTTTTATTTTTTTAGGGGTTTTATTGGGGAAAAATTGGTATCAAGAATGTGGGGACTGATTCCTGTCTCTATTTAGGGTTTTTTGTACGGGTCTGAATCAAATTGCACCACTCTTTTGGGGGTTGGGGCCTAACCTTTGGCATCAAGGCACTCCACCTCTCCAGCAAAGGGCTCACCACTTGCTAATACCAACCAGCTTTTCATCACCAACCACCACGTAGAGCTGGTTGTCAGCTACTGGAGCTCAGCTAAGTTTTATTGGAACATTTTCTTAATATTTTATCTACCTCATCATACTTTTATTTGAATATTTTTTTTTAATAATTTTGCCTACGTCATCCTATTTTTTTTATTGAATATTTTCATAATGTTTTATTAATGGAATATTTTCTTAATATTTTATCTACATCATCATACTTTTATTTGAATATTTTTTATAATAATTTTACCCACGTCATCCTATTTTTTTTTTAATTGAATATTTTCATAATGTTTTATTAATGGAATATTTTCTTAATATTTTATCTACATCATCATACTTTTATTTGAATATTTTTTTTATAATAATTTTGCCTACGCCATCCTACGTTCAATTGAATATTTTTAAATTATTTTACCTACTTCACCACCACCCTTTTAATTGAATATTATTATTGTGCGGTCACTCACCAATATTATATTTGGGCATTTAGTTCACTGGCTTTGCCAGCTTATTGTACACCGTATGGTGCGAGGTATTATGACGTCATAAGATCGATCTGCGCGTATGGTTTAATATTTTATTCGAATCACAAGTGTGTGGTAATATTGGTAATTTTAGGATGAATTTAATCTGATTGCTATTGAGAACATGGAGCAGGCTGTTCAATTATTTTGATTTATTACAAATACATCCATACTGTTCATGCTAGTAAATGTTCGCTGGCCTTGTTCTCAAGAGTAAGTACATAGCTCGAAACATTTCATATTTATTTATTTTTTTTGTATTAATTCATTATACTGAATTGTGGATGACAACCAGTAGCCTGATGACACTGGTGGTGAAATTATAGAGGTTCTAGAATCAACTGTGATAATTCAACTGTGTTAATAATACAATAATTATTACATTAATTAATACACATTCCTAAATTTTGATACCGATATTCTGCCTGTTTATTTGCACCTTCCCCTCCGCCAAGCTGTCAGTAATTTCAGATGGTGTATGCAAGGATAAGCCAGTCATTGACTCTCTTGGGTTTGGTTCAGGAACCAACAATTCGTGATTAGTGTGGGTTTCTGGTCAAGGTTTACGATCTAAATTAGGTGACTAGTGGTTTAATTACGTGGCGCCTTATAAATTTTAGACAGCTTCGAACCACGCCTTCTCCACTGTTTCAAAGCTGCCGGGTACCACTTTCACATAGCTATAACCAGACAAGAGTTCCATATATGAATTTGCTTGCCTTCTTTGGAAATTAACGCCACAATTTGGCGCCCAACGTGATTTTGCTTTACATATTCCTTTGGTGGTACTTTATTTTTTTTTCTGCAACTGCTTCAGTCGGGTTTTAGCTGTTGTTTGAGCTTTAAGTTGCATTCTATGAGACTGGCTTATGGTAGGAGGGTGCTAAGGTTGCTTGAATAAACAAGGTGTCTATACTTTGAAGATTTAATTTTGTTTGAAAAGCACACTGTTGATCGGTTCTGCTTTGGCATCTAGTAATTTTTTTTTAGTGCAAGTGGGGAGTGGTGTAGTTACTGGAAGATACTGTGGTGCTTGTTATTGTATTACAGTGAAGTGTAGAATTATTTTATGTGAAGTGTTATATAGTGTGATAGATAGTGCAGTTTCAGGACTTTATTTGAATAAGAAGAACTCAGGATGTCTAGAAAGATGGAAATAAATCGTCTGGATAAAGATGAACTGGCCTACGAGTTGACATGGCGGGGCATTGCTGTGGGAACTGTTGAAGAAATGCGAAGTCGGCTGACTCTAGCTAGGAATTTGGAAAAATCTGGAGACAGCCTTCACTACCCAGACTACCCCTATTCATTTCAAGATGATATAGCTGCCGTTGCTGCTAAATTGGACAACATCGTGATTGCAGTAGACAGCTTTGCCGACACACCCAAAAGCCCGACATTCCTAAAACTACAGACAAAACTCAACCACGTCTTAGGAAGGATAGACAACATGGTAGCTAAAACGATGGAAGAGGCGAAAGTGAGAGCAGAGCTAGTTGCTCAAACGTTATCATTGATTGATGCATTAAATGGCAATGTCGTGGACCCAGTGGGTGGTGGTCGAAATCAACCACCACCTAATTTGTGTGTTCTCCAAGGAAGCATAATGCAGCCTTTATCCTGTTCCTCCCCAGTACAACCTGTGAACCCACACTCGGTGGCCCAATCAACACGACCGAACAGTCCTCCTGCAGCAGCACAAGGACAAATGGCGAGTGCTGCCTCAACAGGTTCACTGGGACATGGTATCAAGCCGATCTTACCACATAAATGGAATCTAAAATTTACAGGGGATAAACGGGGGATGTCAGTCACAGCATTTTTCGAACGAGTCGAGCAGCTTCGGATGGCCAGGAATGTAAGCAGACAAATACTACTAAACTCAGGAATAGATCTATTTGAAGGAAGGGCATATGAGTTCTATCAAGATTGCAGAAACGAAGTCAATACTTGGGAGCAACTAGTGCAAAAATTTAAAGAAGAATACCAACCTGCCTTCTATAACGAGAAACTTTTGGAGGAAATTAAAAAACGCACACAAGGGCCAGATGAGTCCATTGGCACATACATGGCCATTATGTCCAAGTATTTCCAACGATTGGAATGCGTTATTTCTGAGGAGGCCAAGCTCACAATTCTTCTAAGAAACATTTCACCAATTTATAGAAATCAGATTGGGGCACTGGAAATTAATAGTTTGGTTGAACTAAAATCGTTGTGCAAAAGGATAGAAACTCGTATTCAATCAGAATATGTCCCTCCTCCCCGTAAAGGACAATCACTGGAACCGGATTTGGCGTATGTTGAGATGACTGGAGAAGATGACGTGGAACAGATCCAGGGAGGATTAGCACGTCTTGAGGCGATTAGTCATGGACATACTCAGAGAGACCATAATACAACTAGTAGAAGAGAAATAACTTGCTTCAATTGCAACAAGCCAGGTCATAGGGCGATAGGGTGCGCGGAACCAAAGAGGCTACTGTGTTTTGGATGTAAAAGGGAGGGATTCACAAAAAGAACATGCCCCTCATGTAATCAGGGAAACGGACGAAGATCCTCTTAGGCGGTCGGCTTAAGAGTCAGATCAGAAACCCGACCGTATCGCCCATCCTAGACTTTATTTTAAATCATGCCGACAACGATGAGAGGCCTTACTTGGAGGTCAACATTCTGGGACATAACTTGCTGGGACTTCTTGACTCTGGAGCATCTAGAACCTTTCTTGGCGGTCGAGGTTGGGATATTATTAAAACATTAGGAATTCCTTTAGATACGTCAAGAAGGTCTCATTGCACAGTTGCTAATGGCCAGCAAGCAGTGAGCATGGGGGTTGTGGAATTGCCAATTTGTATTAGAAACAGGACCAGGATTGTTGATGTAGTGGTGGTTCCAGACTTTCCTCATGGCTTGATCCTGGGATCTGACTTCTGGGTTGCTATGGGGATTGTTCCTGACCTGCGTCATAACGAGTGGCGTTTCTCGGATGATCCCTGCCTACTGGATAGTATTAACGAACAGCTTACTGTCTTAACGCCTGAGGAAGACCAACACCTTACAGAATTAGTCGACAGGTACAAGCAGCTTATGGGACCCACACTGGGGTGTACAACTATGGTGGAACATAAGATTATCACCAACGCGTCCCCAATCCGTCAACGTGCGTACAGGGTATCCCCAGTGATCCAGAAGAGTATGGACGAAGAAATAAATGAAATGCTAAAGTTAGGCATCATTGAACCAAGTAGTAGCCCATGGTCATCACCTGTTGTGATGGTCCAGAAGAAAAACACAGGCAAATTTCGCTTCTGTGTTGACTACAGGAAGCTAAATTCAGTAACAGAGCGGGATAGTTACCCTTTGCCACTAGTTTCAGAAACACTAGATAAGCTGAGAGACGCAAAGTATCTTTCTAGTTTAGATATCAAGAGTGCCTATTGGCAGGTCCCAATCGACGAGAACTCGAAACCACTTACAGCATTTATTTGTAGAAGGGGGTTGTTCCAGTTTCGCCGGATGCCTTTCGGCTTGCACAACGCACCAGCGACCTGGCAACGACTCATAGACAAAATTTTAGGACAAGAGTTGGAACCTCACGTATTTGTATATCTAGATGACGTCGTCATTGTAACTCAGTCCTTTGAGGAACATACTCGAATCTTGGAACTGGTCTTTAAGAGACTAAAGGAAGCCAATATTACAATTAGCTGGGAGAAGTGTCAATTTTGCCGCCCAGAAATGAGATATTTGGGGTATGTGGTGGACCGTCGTGGGTTGCGAGTGGACCCAGATAAAGTCAAATCAATGTTGGAATTACCAAGACCAAAGACGATTACAGAGGTTCGAAGGATTGTAGGGAGTTTTTCGTGGTACCGTCGGTTTGTGCCAGACTTTTCAACGATCATAAATCCCATCACCAGTCTCACCAAAAAGAGCCACAAATTTATGTGGAATGACGAGTGTGAGGCAGCCTTGAGAAAGATTAAAGAAAGGTTGGTGGCAGCACCCATTCTAAGCTGTCCGGATTACACCAAAGGATTTGTCATTCAAACGGACGCATCTGGGTACGGCATAGGAGCCGTTCTAACTCAACCAAGTGAAGAAGGAGAAAGGGTAATTTGCTATCTCAGCCGTTCGCTTACTAGGCAGGAACGCAATTATACGACTACGGAACGGGAGTGTCTGGCAGTGGTATGGGCAATAGAGAAATTGAGACCATATATTGAGGGGGTAGCCTTTACAGTGATCACCGACCACTATAGCCTGAAATGGCTTCATACATTGAAAGACCCTAGTGGTAGACTAGCTCGATGGGCGGTAAAGCTGCAACAATATAAGTTTGAAGTCATCCATCGTCGCGGAAAGGACTTGGTTGTGCCAGATATGCTGTCGAGGGCGGTTCCTGTGTTGGATCTTGTGAAGGAACAGGCGGTTACAGCGTCGTCACTCCCAAAAATTA